ACACACACACACACACACACACACACACACACACACACACACACACACACACACAAGCTTGCTTCTCTATCCTTATTAGGACCGTTCATTGACTTCCATTCATTCTTACACGTTTATTTGCTTTAAGATGCTTAAAGAAATTAAAACAATAAATTAAAAACAGCAAAAACAGCTAAAGTACCACTTGAACACTGAATTACTGCTATTTAAAATGTCTAAAGCTGCAGCTAGATTACCTAAAAGGTAGCTGTTAATTGCAGGATATTATAAACATTGGTTAATATTTGAAAATTGCTTCCAATAAACCCACATTTTCCTCACTTTCACTTTGTCGTCATATAAAGCAGGCGTGTGCGTCGACTCACTGAGGAGTTCAGAAAATCTCCACCAGTTTTTTACTTTTTAATCTTCTCAGCGTCCAACACTCCCTGCTGTCCAGATCTCACAGTAAAATAAATAAAAAAGTTGAATTCAATTTGATTTTTTTAATACAAACAATTAGTAAGCTCTGTGTGTTACAGCACCCACACACAAAAACAAAACACCTCCTCAGTTTTCTGAGGATTAAACTGAGATTTGATCCTTTTCAAAACCTCCAGAGGAGGTGAGAAACATAAGAAACTATTTAAAAACTTGTTATTATTCTGTGCATTTTTTAAAATTACAAAGGTTTTAATTCCTTCCAAAGCGAGCCAGTTAAGCCTCAAAGACCTAAAAACTAATTATACTTTCAAAAGACCAAAACAAAAAGTCACTCTGATGGACCTGGAACAGTTTTATTTAATGATTTAAACTAAGAGATAAAACTGTTTGTTCACCCAGGAATGGATCAGAACCAAACACTGGACTGTTCTGAAGTGGTCTTCTGAGTCCTGATCTAAATCCTGTTGAAGATCTGTGGAAGGAGCTGAAACATCTGGAGAAGACCTGAGACAGCTGGAGCAGTTTGTTCATGAGGAGAGATGGACCAGAACACTAGTGGACAGGTGGACCAGAAGGCTTGTGGACAGGTGGACCAGAAGGCTTGTGGACAGGTGGACCAGAAGACTTGTGGACAGATGGACCAGAACACTAATTGACAGATGGACCAGAATACTAATGGACAGGTGGATCCGAAGACTTGTGGACAGGTGGACCAGAACACTAATGGACAGATGGACCAGAACACTAATGGACAGGTGGACCAGAAGGCTTGTGGACAGATGGACCAGAACACTAGTGGACAGATGGACCAGAATACTAGTGGACTAAAATTAAGACGATTTGATTGATTTCCATATTCAATGGGCCTCATGCAAGAACATGTTCGTATTCTTATCCTAAATTTCTCTTACTTTTGTTCGTACAAAGGGTTCGTACGAACATGTCACGTCAGATTTGTAGCAGTAACTTGGATTGGAATGTCAATACTCCAAACTTTGGCCACCACATGACTCTGCCCATGTTTACAAGAAAAC